CTCTTTCCTCAGGCCTGGGAACCTCACCAGGCATCTAGGTATGGTCTGTGGAAGCAGAAGGTGGGGAGCCTGTCCATTTTACTCGGCTTCTCTTCTGGCCTGGTCAGCCCAGGAAGGTCATCTAGATTCAGAACGGCATCTGTACTGTAAGCTACAATCACTAGTGAATAGATCAAACGGCATTTTCTTTGATTAATAACATCGTTAAAGGAGGTGTGGATAATCCTCTTCCTATGCTTGCAAATAGGCTATCACTTAAGGCAATGATTCCCTGCCTTTTGTGGGGTATCATTGTTTGATTTCCCAAAATTGTGTCTATCTTCTGAAAGTTCTGAATGGTGCACACATACACATGTTCATACACACTCACCCCTAGGATATTTTTGTCTTAAGAAAATTGGCCCAACATAGTAGTTTATCAAGTTCCACAGCCAGTTTGTGTCTTGGATAAATGAAGTGTATAGGAGTTACTTCTTAGCGAAGGAAGGTAGCTGTAAAATGCAGGGGGGGATAAGGCTATTGGAAATTGTCTCACATACAAAAAATCTTGGCACAAAGTATTCTCTTTAAGTTGGGGTTTTGATGCCCACATTCCTCCTAATCATAGACCTGATTTTGCACATTCGTTTTGTGATAAGTTCCTCCTAAAAATATGCATTTTGCTAGAGCTCAAAATTTCCTGAAAGCTCCAAAGCCCCAATTTTGAGAAGTTTTTCTATTATTACATGGTTTAGACAGAAATTTCTCACTTTGTCATGAGTTTTGTTAAAAATTTTGTGATGTCACATATAACTGGAGATAGCCTTAGATGTTTCAAAACCAAGTTATTAAATCTCTGCTTAGAGGTTGGGGAGGAGGGCAATAATTTTTATGAACTATGTATAAATTCTTCACTCCTCCTCAGAATTCAGGTGCCCTAGATATCTTGTGTAGTGCAAGAGTGAGGTGGGAGTAGATGTGTTAGCTCCTCCAGCTATTGAAGAAGACACTAGTACCAAGGCCAAAGACATCTACTCCCTTGTTTTAGCCTTAAGTAGTTTTAAAACTTCCTACATTTATTCCACTTAACATTTATTGGTTGCCAGATGTAACTCTAGTCACGGAACAACCCCCACCCCCTAAAAAAAACACACAGTAATTTCCTGTCCTTGTGATTTAAATTCTAGTCACAAAGACAGGTAATGAGATAAGTACATTAAGTAATATGCTTGAAGATTTTAGGTGCTATGGAAAAAATGAATGTAGAGTGATAAATGTGAACTTGGTTGGAGTTCCAGAAATGAGGGAAAGAAGAATGAACTATTCTCAATAGGTGAGTAAGCTATGTGGATAGCTGAGTACAGACAACTCTGAGCAGAGAGACCAGCTCTTGCAAAGCCCTACAGTGAGAGGTGTGCCTGGTGAACTCAACGAATAGCAGGGAGTAGGAGGGAAGGAAGCTAGAGAAGTAACAGGAGAGGAGGAAGCAAGATTGTAGAGGCCATTATAAAGATTTTTAAAAAAATCTTGAGTCCAATGGGAAACCTTTAGTATCTTAAAAACTTAAAAATTGAAAATATATAAAATATAAAATAGCATGGTGAACCCCTAGGTACCCATCACTCGTGTCATCTGTCATCATACAGCCGACCTTGTTTCATCTGTGCTCCTCCTCCCTCCTTGCCCCCACAAACACACATTGGAATGTTGAAGCCAATGGCAGACGGCGTATCATTTCAAACCCAGGGCTCATTCCTGTGAAACGTCTGAATTTTGTTTCATTTTTGAAGCTTTTTCTTTTTGCATCCTTCTTTCAGCTCTTGTCATGCCCCCTGTCCCCTGCCCACAGGAGTTGTCCTCTGGCTGCTAGCCTCCTTCCCTTTTTCCTAGTCATGGAACAGCCTCAATGCCCCACTCAGGCTCACCCTGTAATACTCCGCTCCCATTCCCTGAACATTGGAAATTAAATAACAGATGCCTCAAATTCAGTTGTCAGCTGACTCATGCCACCAGGTCCCTTTGAGTCCTCCTTCCCTTAGCTCTAGCCACTTGCTCCAGCTAACCCATTCCCATAGTTTCTGAGTGTTCAGAACGTGCCCCAAAAAGACTCCTCTTGCTGATTGTTTCATTAGTATATCTTTGCCCCCTTAGAACTAGATTCTACTGGGTTCTTTTCACAGAGAATCCCAGTAAACATGGTAACCTAGCTCCAGCTACCCGGTCCTAAGACTGGCTGTTGGCTGAAGTCTGGGGCTGGCTTGATTTAAGTCAGGGCAACCCTCTGCCCTAAGGATTGTCTGGGTGGAGTGGTGTGAGTGGAGCAGCCTCTGGATGGCTTCTGTCTCCCACATTCTCTGACTTTCAAAATGCTGCTTTAAAAGAATATTAATTGTTTTCATTTGCCTAAAGGGCTTCATTTATGCTTGATTACCATGTGATATGATAAAAATTATGCATAATATATCAGATTAATTTTGTTATAAATTTTATTTAATTTCAATACTAAGCTCTGTTCCTAAATGCATAGTCTTAATAGTTTGCTATATCTGTATCTACATTATTATTACTTAAAACTAAAAAATTGAGGACTTCTCAATCACCAACCATCTATTTAGTAATCTGTTCTAGGATCTTTTATAAAATTCCATTGTATTGGTCTGAAGTAGCAGTAGTTCTTTTGCCCCCTTATTGAAAATTGGGATGCTTACTCATCTCGTGAACTATGTAACATGGTTTTGTGATTATATCTACAGTTTCTTTTATTTTTAAGTCTTACGGCATGTAATTCACCTGAATCTAGAATTGTGAACTCTTAAAATCTAGGTTTTCTTTTTCTACCTTTTCACCTATCTTAGGCTTCACTTTCTCTCATCTATATTTGCTTGATAATTTCTAGGTTGAAGATAATTCTCATTGATAGGAATATGGAAGCAAAATAGTGTTTGAGTTGTTCAGCTTGCTTTCTGTCATTTTTTAGCACCGCATTACCAACTCCAAGTACAGCCTAACTCCTGTTTTTTTTTTTCTTTCACTGACCGTACTCCCTCCCTATCCCCCAAAATCCCTTGAAATAATGTTTTTCATAAAATTCAGCAAATTCTGGGCTTTGATCTTCACGACACTATTTTTTAATGTCCAGGCTATTCTTATATTTTTGCTTTGAAGGGCCTGTTTGCTTTTTTTTTTTTAAGAACTCATTGCTGGTTTCCATTTTGTAGCCACACACCTGTTTCTATTGTATCATATTTTATTATATGATCAGATTTTCAGTTTCGAACTGTCCCTCAGCCTCAACTTTCATTCATCATTCATTCATGATGTCTTTCTTTTAAATCTGGTTGTGAGATAATTTCTGGCATTTTTCTGTGCTCTTTGAAATATATGCTTTCCTAAAGCCAGGGTCTGTGCCCAGGCCAAACCATTTCTTCCTGGTCTATTGTGAAATTTGCAGTTGTTCTCGAACTGATGTTTGTATAAAAGTTCCTCTCTTTGCTTCTTTGACTTTCGGAAAAGCATTTATTATCTAGGCAATTAAAAAGCACATTGGACAATCTGTTTAGCAGAATGAGAACTCGATTCTAGCAGACTTATGGAGAGCTGGAACCCCCTATATCCCTGTGTCAATTTCTTATTCATTTTAGAAAAATATCAGCCACCTCTTCCACCTGACTGAGTGGTGCTGTAGTAAGTGCATGTGGCAGTATTTTAATTTTTTTTTTCTGTTCCTAAGTGCCTGGTTGTTTAATGTTCACTCTATCAACCTGTGAGAATTTAACTTGGGGTCCTTGAGAACTCAATAGAATCTTAACTTTCTGGTTTTTGCTTTTACCACTTTCTGCCAGCAAAGCAGTAAGAAAGAAAGAGTAGCTCAGTCAGGGGAGACACAGATGTATACAACTGTTTTTTATAAAGACAAAGTCATGGGCTCATTAAGAAAGTAATCTTCTGTGAAGCAAAGACAGTAAATAAACAGCTTTTTGATTTGCACTGAAGTATATTTCCTCTTGGAGTTTACTTCAGCGTGGAAGAAAAGGACTTCTAAGAAGCCCCTACTCTTAGTGCTCTGTTTTTGTTTGCTTGTTTGATATGAAAGATTAGTAGGAGCTGCGAATGAATACGTAGGGATGAAAAGAGAAGGAAAGACAGCAGAAGGGACTTAGCTCTGATCCTTTGGAGGATCTTTACAGTGGCCAGTGGTCTAGGTGGATTT